CAGCTCACTTATGACAACAGGATTTCTCTCTTACCAAGCTGGACAAAATAATTACAACATAGAAAACTACTTGCCAGTACTTCCAATAAATAAATGTACAAAGCCTAAACATAGAAATTATAAAATTTTGATGAGAAAAATTAAAGAAGACCAATATAAATGGAGTGAAATACATGTTTATGAAACAGAAAATTCACTATTGTTAGGTTGTCAATTCTTCCCCCAAAAATGACCTATTGATTCAAAATAACCCTAATTAAAATCTCTGCAGTATTTTTTTTTGTAAAACAAATAAATAAATTTAATAGTTAGAGGATACAAGAACAATAAGCAAAAATTAATTATATTTCCCAATTCTAGCAACAATGTGAAAATAAAATTTTAAATATATCATTTGAAATGGCACCAAAATGTGAAATATTTAGGGATAAATCTGAAAAAAAAAAAATGAACCAAAAGTGTGCCTGCAAAATGGTAATAGGATGTTGAGAAAAATTTTAAAAGACCTAAATAAGTGGAGATATATAGACCTACATATAGACGGCCAGTCAATTTATTATGAAGGTGCAAAGACAATTCTGTGGAGAAAGTTACTCTTTTCATAAATGGTGATAGAACAACTGTACATTCACATGTACAAAAATGAACTGTGATCTATATTTTGAACCATGGGCAAAATGAACTCAAACAGCAATAGAACTTAGAAGTTATAAAGCTTATGTGTGTGTGTGTGTGTGTGTGTGTGTGTGTGTGTGTGTGTGTATAGTTTTCTTATAAAAAATTAAAATATAAAATGTGCAAGACTAAAATATAGGGTTGAGAGATAAACATAATGATAGGCAAGGCAGAGATCATTGTTTTAAGTCAGGAAAGTGGCTGATTTAGGGGCAGGAAGTGAGTGGAAATGATGATAGAAAACTTGAGATGGCTGTTTTATTTCTTAGCCAATGCAGCAATTACAAAGATAATGACTTAAAATTGTTTGTTAGTCCATGAATCCATTCTTTTATCTTTATTATATTTCCCATGAAATTATTAAAAATAAATAAAGGATGGAGACACTAATTACTAGTGGGGATATGGACAATGAAAACTCTCATGCACAGCTAATGAGAGTTTAAATGGTATAAAGCAATGGAGGAAATTGGTACTATGTATTAAAACAATCATACACTTGGCCTGTGACCCAGCAATTCCTGACGTAGGAATACACCCAACAGAAAGGTATACATGGGAACATCAGAAATCATTTACAATAATGTTCTAACAGTAAAAGGGATAGACAAATTGCTAAATATTCATACTACAGACAAAGAATAGTAAATGAACTACTGATGTCTACAATAACAATGATGAATCTCACAAACATACTGTTAAGCAAGACACCAAATCCAAAATCAAACTGTATGATTGAATTTAGATCAAGTTCAAGAACTGGCAATGCTAATTTATGGTATTAGGAGTCAGGGTAGCAGTTACAACAGGGAAGAGAGGATCTTCAGAGAGAGAAGTAAAGTTTTCTTTTTGGATCTGGCTAGGGTTTGGTCATACAGATGTGCTCATTTGTGAAAATTCACCCACCTCTACACTTAATACCTGTGTACTTCTTTGTGTATATTTTACACTAAAGGAAAAAAGTTTATGAAAATAACAGCTTTAGCGATATATGAAGGCCTAAGATAAAAGCTGACAATTCTACAGAAGTCCCTACAACTAGTGGCTTGTTAAGTGCCTTTAACAACAATTATGATTTCCAATGCATTTAACAACAATTATGATTTCCAATGCATTCAGCTCACTAACAAACTGTAGATTAAGAAGCTACAAAAGCATTTCTTTAAAAATATTAATCGTTGAAGAGATCATTCTTGGTAAGAGTGTACCGATGAAACTGCCCTCTAGGACCTTAGTCTTGAAGGAGGTAGTAAAAGCCTTAATTTTTGAGGCTAAGTATCAACTGACCATTGTTAGGTGCAAATGTCAATGAAAATAGACTGGTGCTAGTATTTTAAAGTTGCGCGTGTGCGTGTGCGTGTGCGTGTGCGTGTGCGTGTGTGTGTGTGTGTGTGTATTTTGTTTTGTTTTGTTTTTATTTTTTGGTGGGTTTTTGTTTTTGTTTTTGATTTTTGGGTTTGTGGCAGTCCAGTAACACAGCTCCAGGGGTTTAAAATGTTTAGCCCCAACTCTACATTTCCCAAAAGGCATGTGTTTTTAATTGCACAATATTGCATAACCTGCTCCCACCCTACCCTCAGGAACACATATTATGATGTTATAGCAGAAATGTTCTTACTAAATTTCACGTGAGTATTTAGGGATGGATAGGTCATCTTTCTCTGGTTATATGATGGTTTGTCATTTTTATCCATTCGTACTTTTTATTATACAAATGGTGACACCAAGATGATTAAAAAATAAGTCTTAATTGTCCACTCAAATGGACAGAAAATATTGTGTGATAATTTTTTAAGCTTACACTGAGATTTTGGGGACTGAAACCACATGATGCTAATATCAATAATATTTGCCTTGAGGTTTAAATAAGAAACGGTATGTAAATGTACATAGCACAGTGTTTGGCATATACTTAGTGCTTAATATGTGTTAATTATGTACTATGCCTCATGTGCTGTTGCAGTTTCTTTTATAATTACGGTTTCCTTAAATTCATATGCAAAACAGGTGCACTCCCACAGCAGAGCGTCAGGCCACGGTGGCCTTAGCATGTGATCACTGATGAATAGTCACAGAAGCCAAAAGAGGTTTAAATAGAGCCTGGGGCACATTTGTTACTTTCTAGAATACAAGCTCCTTAAGGGTTTTTGGTTTTCTAGTTAAATGAGGAACTTAGAAGAGGAGCCTAATATATATTTGTTGACTATATGAATAAACTTAACTCACTACTAATGGAGTATATACCATAATATATTATAAACATAGATTGTATAGGAGAGTTTGGGCCCTGTAATCTCATGTTCGGGCTTGTTGTATTATTTGTCATAAAATTGTACACATAATAATGATTTAGCTGGTGCTTGTTTTGCACATTACCCATCAAAGTCCAGTTCTCAGCAAATTTGGTTTGGGAAAAGTCTGTCTTTGGTGTCCTTTCCCTGTCACATTAATAATCCTCGGTTAATTTTTCCTCTGGCATTCAGTGCCTCTTCCAGGTCCTGTTTCCACTGGAACATGCTTCCCAGTTATATAAACATCTGCTGGGGGTTAACAGAAAGCATTTTAAAGAGGGTAACCTCAGCCAGGCATATCTGTATGGCAATAGTAAGTCTGGAGGTCTTTAAAGACCTTCAAGATCCAAAAGGATACAGCTGGTTGGGGAATTTCAGGCATTCAGACAATTAGAGATATTAAGATTTGGAGGCTAACAGACGTGCCTTGTGCTACTCATGCTATCTAATACGTAAAGAAACTCCTAATCTTCCCATATGTAAGGTTTTATAGGTAAAACCTTAGACTCGTCCATCATAAGACAACAACCTAGGGAAGAAGATTGTCTCCATATATTTTAATATTTGTGCATTTACTAAGATTATGTTCCAGGGATGGCTGAAAATTTTATTTTCTTGGCTTGGAAAATAATCATACATGCTTGAAAACTAATTGCAAGTTAATAGTTTTCTTTTCACCAGAGAAGAACTGCAGAGTCCTCGGAGAGACTTCCAACCAGTTTTTCCAGTCCACACTACATCACACTGGTATGGTCCCCTGCCTCCTTTATGTTGGTTGTGCCAGTCTGTGTCCATTTTGGTAATAAATTTGATGGACTTAACCATTCATTGGTTCCTTGAAAAGATCCAACAATGTAACAGGATTCTCTAATTTGAAGCAGAAATAGGACAGTTCCTACTTTTCAGCAGGGCTGGGATTAGGGTGAAAAGAGCATGATGGGTCATCAAGTGCACGTTCAGATGCTGTCTTTATTTAAAATAGTGACATTGTGTTCATCATGAATTCTTGGGAATGCGTTTTGATTTTTTAGAACGATGCATTAACATATTATTTAAAATGATCACTGAATTTGTTTGTGCTCCTTAAATGTTGCTCCTGAGACAGATGCCTCACTCACCTCACTCTAGTCCTGGCCCTGGTTCTCAGGGGTCAAAACTCAAGGATGGCTTCCAGTGAGGCCGAGATCAGCCTGAGGGCCTCCCACTGACAGAAGAGGTATATGCCCTGAATCAATTGATGAGAGAGAAGCAAATTCGCCAAATTAGCACACACATGCATTAGAGACAGAGTCAAAACAGAGATATTACAGGATTTCTAGGATCACCCAAAGTGCTAGAGTCCCTATATCTACATCCATATCCCCCAGGTCACACAGTAGAACATTTTATAGTCAGAATTGGATGTGAAAGCACCAAGATTCTCAATGGTGGATTTTTAAAATTAGCAATTCTCATTAAGCCGTCTCTATTCCTGGCTGAAAGAGTGAAAGGTAGTTTTCAATCCTCCTGTCACATGAAAGGGGCTTAGAAGGTGCTGCTGTCAGGACAGAACAGAATGAGCATGCCTTCCACGCTCAGCCAGCACAGTCCACTTTCACGAATCAGTTTCACTGGCATTTCAATAGACACAGTTTTTGGAAAAAAGCTCTAGCACTTGAAAACTCTTTGGAAACCAATTACCAAATATATTGTTGGAGAAATTCACAAGGTTTACAAGGAAAAATGGTTTCTAATAAAACTTCACATAACCAGAACCATGCTCCCCAACACACCCTACCCCATAGGCAATTTACAAACTGTCATATTTTTCATGAATCAAGAAGAGGTAGTCTGCGTGTGTCCCCTCGTGTGCGTGTGTGTATGTGCGCGCATGTGCCCGTGTGAGATATCTGGTGCAATTCCTGACACAACAACATTCATTTATTATAGAAACCGGCAAGTAGAGATTCAAGAGGACTCACAGATCCTAATCAAATTGCCAACATGGTAGGTTCTCATGACAGATAGTAACTATGCCGCTTTTACGTTTTTCAAATGCTAGCATCCTTTTGTGCTTTTCGCCTACTCATTGACTGATGGGGGACACCCTATGCCCTTATCAAAAGAAGAGAATGGTTGGAGTTGTTTCCTCTGATTTGCTAACATTTCTAACAGACAACACAGCAGAGCATGTTTTAGTCCAAGAGTTTTCCACCCGACCAAAGGAGCAAACTAGAATTCAATACATTTTAGTGTCAGAATCTCAATACATTTTAGACATAACAACAACAACAAAACTTTCCCAGACTTTTCTTAGAAAAAATATACATACCCATGGATTCTTACAAAGTATTTTAAAGGACATAATAGTACTGGTAATCACAGAAAAGGTATCATCCTAATAGAATGATTTTTTCACGATTGCTTTACCCAAGTTTTTACTGACTATATCTGAAGGATAATTTCCCTTGTGAGTTATTATATCTATGTTAGAAAATGTATCAAAAAATGTGGTTTTTGTCAAAGGGAGACAAAATGAGCATTGTTTGGCTACATTTCAGAGTTTTTGTTTTCATTCTTTCATTCATCCATTCATTGAGTTCCTACAATGTTCTGGAACAATATGAAGCTTTCCCCCACAAGGCATTCTTACAAGAAATCTAACCCAATACACTTTCCCTGTTGGGATGGAGAGGAAAAAACATTTCTAATGTCCCTTTAATTCCACAATGACAAACCTGTCTCATGCTGGAGAGTAGAGAAAGATACTCCCAGTGTAAGTAAACTGGCTTTCTGTAATGAAAAACTAAATGATTTTCTTTCTTTTGTGATAGGCTTGTTCATTTTACAATAACTGCTTAATTAGCCATGGCTAAGGAGAGCTGAAGAAATATGAATAAATGTAGTACAGCAGAATCCAGAAAGGTTATTGTAATGAGGAGATATAAACGAGTAACTGAAATAGAACATGCTTATAGATTTTACAGAAAACTGTTTTTAATCATCTCTTTCTACTTAGAACTTGAAATTGGATATCCAAAATGGCTGTGCAAGGCTAGGTTGAGGCTTCGGGATACAAGATCTTCACAACCTTCTCTCGATATTTGCTGCACAAATTTCTGGCAGTTTTTTTAAAATGTTCTTTACCCAGACAGAAAACGTTGAAGAGAAATAACTTCTTTCTGAAAACTTCATAACCTGTACTGTAGACGGATGCTACAAAAGATTATTATAGTTTTCCGAATCCTCTTTAGCTTAACACAAGAATAAACAGTCTCCTTGCTCTAGTATTCTGCAAAATGTTAGTCTAGTCACTTAAAAAAAAGAGTCGAAACCTTGAGGACACTGTAAATTACAACCCTGAGTGAGTCTAAGAAACAAGACCTTGCTTATAAAGGGTTATTTTCTTTGGGAGCATAAAAGTACTTACCTTAATTTGAACATGACACAATTAACATGAATTCCAGTTTAAATGAAATTCTCTTCCACAGAAATACCAAGAGATCAGTGCAGGAAGGCATCCAATTCCATTAGCTAGTTAAAAGGTAGATGACTGTCTTACTCATTTCCTATCAGTGAAAGAGACAGAAGAATTAGTCATCTTCACAGAATAGGGCTTAAAATTGTGGTGGTAGCAATAGAAGACTTGATATGTTTCTGGTAATTCTAAATTCCTAGAATTTAATTCTAAATTCCTAAATTTTTAGAATTCCTTAAGACTCTGACAGAGAAGTCAGAAAGTTACAAGAATTTCAGAAAATTAACTCCAGCAGACAAGAAATACTCCCCGTCCCCATGAAGGGCTTGTGAGATCCTTATAACGTGTGGATTTGAGCACTTAACGTGTGATTTCTGTGCCATCTCCATTCTTCCCTGTCAGATGATTGTAGTATTTGGAGTTGTCCTGGGAATGATTTCAGCTATTTCTTTATACTGATGATTCTCAGTATCTTCTCTTGTGTTCTCTATTTCCTTTGTGTTATCCGTTAAAGCTGTATGCAATTATTTTTTCATTCGCTGAAATAATGGTTTCAAGTGCTAAACGCAAACTTAATGATTCAATTAAATAAAGGCTGCAAATCAAGGAAGAAGGCTGGTTGTCCTTGGTGAAATGGTTGTTGCTATGCTGACTAGCTGATGTCGAAATGAGATCAAACAGCAGTGACTCAGCACTTTACACCTAGGCCGTTTCTCAACAAGCGTTTGTTATTCTAATTAAAACCATACGTTTAAGAAAGAATATTGATAAATGTGTACTTAAAGCGGAGGATGCTAATTTAAATATTTTATGTAAATGTATGAAAAGAGAGAAATTCCATATAAAATATAAAATCTCATCTATAATCGCCTCATTAAAGCAAACAATAATCCTCTGATGTCCAAAAGGAAGAGACATTCACATATTCGTATCCTCCTAAACAGTTCATACGTTGATGAACAGTATACATTTTGGTGATATCTTATTCTCCCTCTAAAAAGATAGCCCTCTTGATTTGTTATTTTTGTTATCGTTCCCATATCTCTTCCAGGGAACTCACCCTCACTCACTTTCTCTGTCTTGGGCTCTACATGCATCTAACTACTAATTTCTGGTGATTATTTTTTTCAAATTGGAATGTCTTTAGGGATATATATGTACATATCGGTAGAGAGACTGCTCATTAAAATTAATTGATACTTTAAGACTTCCTTTTTAAATATGAAAGGACCTGTCTGAACTATAAATGTCATGTTTTTAAGCTAACACCATAAGTAATAAAGACTATAGAGCCTCCTTGAAAAAACTATATCTACATTAAATTTTTTAAATGTATTAACATTTTAAAAATGACATTCGGTGGGCTGGATTTGGGTTGGGGAGGAGCAAGTCAATCATTAATGAGCAAAAGTGCTAATAGGAGACAAATAGGACCAAGATGCATCTTTGTTGGTCTGGGGTCGTAGCCACAGCAGGGTGAAAAGTGGACTGGCCCAGAATGGAATGAGGAGGGGAGGGACCTGGGAATGAGAAGAGTGGCAGCTTTGACCAGATTTCCACACACCCCTTGCTGACCAGGGAAAGACCTGCATGGGGGTGAGCACCTCAGGAGCATCACAGAGAGTAAAATCCCAGAGGGGTGAGAACTGAGTGACTTGTGACTATGTTCCCCAACCCACCAGCAGATCGACAGGGGAGGGCAGAAGCTTTACCTGCTTGGGGAGTTTGAACAAAACCTCTTCTCAAATCACTGACCACTGAACAATGCAGATCCAGGGCAACACGAAGAAAAACAGTATAAAATATAAAAAGGAGAAATAAAACCAGAGCAGAGCATCAGCAGTTGTACTGCAGGGGGTGGAAGGTGGGCAAGGTTCTGCAGTTTAAGTTCAGGCAAGTCATTTTAAAAAAACATTCAGAAAAATAAATCAGAATCCGTATTTATTACTATATATTATCTAAATGCTATTATGTCAAGGAATCTCAAGTATATTTTTACATCAGATCTGCCAGGAATGCAGTGATGATGATCTAAAACTAAACTAAACCAAAGCAAACCAAACCAGCATTCCCAGTACAGCATCGACTGTTCTCAAATATCAACCAGCTGCACGTAGACACTTGGCCTTTTTTTTTCATCTGTCTTGACAGATGATTGTGGAGTTTAAAAAAGTATGTTGGATGCACTAAAATTGAGTAGTCATAGTCTGAAGGAATGTAATTACTTCCTTTTTAGCCTGCAAATGTGTGGCAGGCCTGCCTGCACCTGACAACCCCTCGAGGAAGTTCCTAGAATGATCAGTAGGTGGCGATCTAGCAAAGTAAATCTCCCGTGAGCTGGCAACCTCCGAGATTTCATCCCTTTGTTAGGGCAACCCTAGGGCTTCGGAATCGTGACTTTAAATACACTTACTAAGAAATTTGTTAAACTCCGTTTCTGGTTATTAAAGATGTAGCTCTAGGGGAGTTTTGCCACACATCACTTCCTTCTCTGCCAAGGTCGTGACTTCAGGTACACAAACAGGGACCATTCTCCTAAACAGATGGAGAGCTGGGCTGGCAGCCTGAAAGCTTTGAATGGAGATTTTAAATTGGAAAGATAAATTCTATTTACCCTTCATTCCGAAGTCCACTCTTGAATATGACATGAGCCCCCAAATGACCCCGTCTCCTGGAAACTACTGTGATGTCTAGTTTTTTTTCTTTTTCTTTTTTTTTAATTTTATATTATCTGTTTATCTACTTTTGGGGGGGGGGCACACATTAGCCACTGCTGTCATGGAAACCTGAAGCGCTTCCCCTTTCCCCAAGCACATATAAGGGATAGTACATATCAGGAAAAGCTGAAGCCGGTGTGACTTATATGACTTTGTGGTGGACCACTGATGACAATTGATGTCTCCCTACTAATCATCACTGAATAGGAAGAAATATTAATTGGACTCCTGAACTTATCGGAAGCTTCCTGATCACTTTCTAACTGAAGGTCAGGCTTTTAGGAAGCTAAAGAGCCATTATGTAGGGAAGCGTCTCTCCCTTGGCCATGACAGAATCCATTAACATCTTTCTCCAGGAAAAGCTGTAAGTGTGAGCTATATGTAATGGATATTGATTGTTAAGAAAAGAAGATACATATAACTTTAAACCTGAGGGGTCTCCAGGGAAAAAAGACATAGAAGAAGGGGCTTTCAGGATCTCAGGAGTGCTAGCTGGAAGAAATTGTACCAGAGCTGCCTTAGAGAATCTTAGATAAGTGAATTTAAAAGTCAGTCCTTCTTGCTCAAAGATGCCAGCAATTTGCTACAAGGAGGGTGAATATAGCATTTATCGAGTACATACTTTTTGTCAGGCATTAGTCTAAGCACTTCACATGTATTATTATTTCTTTTAACTTAAAACAACTCTATGAATTAGCTACTATTATTCTCATTTTATAGTGTGAGAAATTCAAGGCAAAAGTCAAATAATTAGCCAAAAGAGCTGATTAAGTAGCACAGTTAGAATATCAACCTAGGAAGTCCAACCACAAAGAATACGCTTTTAATCACTACCATGATGCTGGTGTAAATATAATTTTGATTAGGAAAAAACACAAGCCTCACCTAAATTCAGACTTGTATAAGGGAAATTCATATATCTCACTTTCATTCTCATTTTTCATCCACCAAAATTCCCGACCTTCGCAGTCACCTTAGCAACGATGCATGGGTTTACACAGCAAGAAAGGAAAAGGGAATCCAGGCAGCTGTCAACTCCACATTTAGCCAGAACCTAGGTGAGATGCTGCTGTACTCAGTGGAGCCGTATTTGGGGGATGCACCTGAGTCTTTAACACCTGTTACCATTCTCCTGACCATGCCCTAGGGGGCGCTAGTGACCCTTGAATCTTTTCTGGGTTTCACAACTACTTCAAGTTCTGAAAGATACTTTCTCAACAGAACAGGGCTCTGCTTGGTTGATGTTTTAGTTCCAGTTAGCGTGCCCCAGAAGCTGTCTGTCGCTGCCTCCACCATCTCTGTGCAGAGAAGGAAAACCAACAGAACTATTGGCACTTGGCAGCAGTTGGCAGGCCAGGGATGGCAGGGGTCAGTGAAGAGGCAGAGCCTCAATGAAGCTTTCTCCCTTGCTTTAATAAAATGAAGACTGTACCAGAAGATTGGTCATCTTTAACACTTAGGAGAGAGTGTCTGCACTGCACCTGTCAGGCTGCCCACTGCAAGGCTCTGTGACAAATATTATTTTACAGACCAGGAAACTAAGGATGATTTGTCCCCAGACATACAGCTGTATATAGCAAAACAGAAATCTGAACATAGGCCTTGCACCAAAGCCACAAATTGAACTGTTACCCATTCAAAGTTTTGAGACACTAGTACGACAATGACATCAGACGTGGCCACTGAATGAGCTAAGAGATTATTCCTGGGAAAGGTGACTTTGTTCTGCAAAGGGGCTGTCCATCAAAGTGCAGTGGGTGGGCCTAGGTTTTTACCATAAAGCAGCAGAGTATCAATTTTATTTTCCCATCTTCTCCAGCTTCTCCTCAGTAATGATTTGAGGGATAAAAATGTTCAAAGGTCTATGTTCTTTCTAACGGGACTCAAAAGAGAAATTACCGGGTGGACAAATACGAATAATTTTAAACAAATCCTCCAGCATTTAAAATCATTCTCTGTTTAAACTATTCTTTTCTCTCATATTATCAGCATTTGCGTCTTGATATAAAAGTTTATGTCAATGACCCAGGGATGGTAACGTTAAAAAAAATAATAATAACTTAAAGTCTTGACTCAGGGGCATGCCTCTTTAGGTCTACCAGGGAAAGTAGCCAGAGATTAATTTGATCTTCTCTGAAATATGTCTGATGCTCTCTCTGAAGAAGGACATAGTTTAAAATAGCATTAGCTACCGCAGTCTTCAGGCTGGCTGAGGGAAGGAAGAAATAATCTAAGTAGCACATTGAGCAAATTTGATGCCTGAGTATTGAGGCACTGCCAAGCAATTCAGAAGAGAAATAAATCAATTTATTCCATCTCGTTAATGCTGCCTTGGTAGTTTTAACAGGTTTCTGTGCTGAAAATATCACCAGCTGGACACTGTGTCACTCAATATTTCACCTTCAGAAATGAATTATCAGGCACAAGCCCAATCAAATGTCATTCACCTCCCTGGGTTCACTGGGATCTTCAAGCGAGAGAACACTCAGATGCAGAAAGAAGAAAGGTAAAATGGCAGTACCACACAATGTTATTTCTGGGGTCACGGCACAGCTAAAGCCATGACCTTCATTAGGATCTCCCTGCCCCACTCCCCCAAGTGGCTCTTCTAAAAGTAAACAAATGAAAACTAGAGACAGCAAAAATATTTGCAGATCTAAGATAAAAAAAAAAAGTCTAAAAATAAATAAGTAAGTAAGTACATAATATGGGTTTATACCATTTAGAGTCTTCATGTTCAATTATTTACTTCTTTATTCAACCTGTACTCAATGCACATTTGCTGTATTTGAGGTGTTGTTCCAGGTACATGAAGTCACGTAGGTATATAAAGCTCTGCCCCAAGAAATCCAAGCATCATGGGAAAGCAAAACAA